TCCTACCTTCCTGTGGCGTGGTGAACGAAGAGGCACAGACAATAGGGGAAATTTGACAGGGAAGGAGGTAACATGTAGAATAAAATGTGGAAAATACAACCGTAGAGGGGGAAAAATGAAAGAGGTAAAGGGCAGAAACGTAAGCAGAAACTGAACGAGTAACGAGAAATTGGAGTAAAGGGAATTGTATGAAATTCGGTCGAAGAGAAGCTCGTTGGAAAAATGACAAAGGTAAAATATTGAGAAAAAAGGAAGAGACACCGAGAATGATGATAACTTTTCGAAAATAATAAAAGAAATTATCGAGAGAGGGAGACGAGAGACAATGAAGAACGATGAAAGAAAATTGTAAGAAGCTTTACGTATTGTTTCTACCGTCTTATTAATTTTCTTGACGAACGAAAGAAGAGAAGAAGATGGAGAATAAAGAACACGTTTAAATGGGAATAAAGGAAATTATCGAAAGAGGGAGACTAGAGAAGATGAAAAACGGTGGAAGAAGATGTTAAGAAGCTGTTACGTGTCGTTCTTACCTTTTTTTTGTTTCTCCTGGCGAAGGAAAACGCAGGGGGACATACTGAGTAACGTAGATCGGACAGTTGCCAAGAGTCTTCGACGACCAACCGAAAGAAAAAGAAAGCAGTTTTTTGGCAGAATACGTATTAGGCCGCGATTGGATCTCGGTGGAGCATTTTTGTTTCTCGAGTGCGTAGAGGGCAGAAAACGTCCCCGATTGGCTCTCTGCTTCTGTGATTCTTTTCGTCTGAGAACTTCGGGACAATTTTAGATCGGATGGCTGCCAAGAGAACTGATGACTTGGAAAGAGATCGCTCATGGTTGGTCAACGGGTAAAGATTTTTCGATACCTTCCTGACTTTTCTTTCTGTGCTGTGTCAACAATAATAATTAACCCTTAAGGGAGTATTCTAGTGTAGACACCCGTTTTCAATAAAATATATCGGATTTGTTTTTGCAAAGAAACTAGGACTTTTCGCAGTCAACGTTTCAGGGTATATTTATAAAAAGAAAGAATAAAAATTGGTATTACTGCATGCCTTCGTATACAATCACTTATGAAACAATGAAGAAGATTCTCAATTAGGATGAGTTGGCCTGTAGCAGGTGCTACACAGAAAGAAAAAAGTTGATAATTAAAAGAAGGCGGCACTTTAAAATTTGACTATCGATTGTTCCATGCCTTTTTAACATTCAGGGCTTTATAAAAACATAGAAAACAGAAAGATTTTGAATTGATTCTGGTACTTGGTATACCCAAACACATTCGAATTAAGAATCTTTTTGATTTTTCTTATTTCAGGTAGGCAGAACGGTCGGATTCATGGACAAATTTTTATTTTTTCACGACATACGAAATTATAAATGTTCTTGAAATATGTATAAATATACTCTACTATATTGACTTCGAAAAGTATTATAGTTTCTTTACAACATACATCCCAAGTGTCACAGTGAAAATGGGCGTCTACACTAGAATACTTCCTTAACTACAGACGACTCGTCTCAGGGATGAATAATCTGACAACGACTTATTTCTAACAGCTTTAATTGCCAACTGAATGTTCTTTTTCGTTAGCATCTTGAAAATAGTAAAAAAAGGTAAGTAAAGGTCCCGATTGAAACACTAGAGCTTCCAAAATTCTCCACTAGATTTTGATAGTTAAATAAAAATAAAAATTCATCTCTGAGACGAGTGATCTGTAGTTGAGGGTTAATTTTTTATTATTCAGTAGGATATAATAAATTGTTGTGTTATGTCCTTATGTTTGCTTATTTTATTCTGTGATTTTACTGTTGCAATTGAAATAGAAACTGTACACACGAGCGGAACTAAAAGTACACGATCCATTTTTATTGATACGACCGGTTAAACCTATCAGGTTGGTTCTCATATTTACTAAACGAGAAAAATAATACACTGCAAACCTATAATGAAACGAACATACAAAATGTGAGCCCAAATAATTGAACATCCCTCTGAATCAGAAAGCTTCATTGAACGGTCACAGAATACTGTTACTCGATCATTAATCGTGAAATCTGATTTCATACTTTAATATGTTTTATTTCGACATATTTTTTTATTTGATTAAATTGTACGTACACTCTTACTTTTCATATTACCACATAATAGAGGAATCTCAGCAGAAGGTAAACGATAACGAACAGAATACAGCTGAGTATTATTAATTACTAAGTGCCTTTATAATCACAGTTACCTTAATACAGAATCGTGGGAGTTTAATAATTTACTTAATAAGGGGTAATGAGCAAAAAACTAATGAAGTTCATTCCCAAAGAATTTCTTTCTTCGTATTATTTTCTCGAGATAAACACATATATACAATTTCTCCAAGAGTTACACAACGTGCGACCGAAATGATAGTCCCAGCAGGTAGCAAATGATTTCTTAAGACAGGCGTTCATTTGAGAGTATCCCGCGCGGGTAGCTTTCTATACTCTAAATCTAGAGTACTGTGACGTTGTGTATCCGTTTGAAAGTATTGGGAGCACAAATTAGTTCGGTCCGTTTTCAAAAGATAGCTCTGGTTGTTATGACTGTTTCATAGTGACAACTGATTTCAATTGTTTCTGAGAGGTTAGATATCTGCCAATAACATTCAGTTTATATTGCTTTGAGTTTCATTTAATACCACTGTTTTTTACTTTGTTGAATATGTCAAATTTTGTGTTAACTAAGCAGCATTTCCGGGAGGTTTTAGTTTTCTGCTTTAATTGGAAGAAAAGTGCAGCTGAAGCACATCGAATGCTTGTTGAAGTCTATGGTGACAATGCTCCAACTGATAAATCATGTAGGGAATGGTTTCGACGCTTTAAGAATGGTGATTTTAGCGTTGAAGACAAGCCTCGCTCTGGACAGCCAAAAAAATTCGAAGACAAACAATTGGAGGCATTACTCGATGAAGATCCGAGTCAAACTCAAGAGGAGCTTGCAGAATCATTGGGAGTTACCCAACAAGCAGTTTCCGTACGATTGAAATCCATGGGAATGATTCACAAGCAAGGCAATTGGGTGCCGTATGAACTGAAACAGAGAGACATTGAAAGGCGATTTTTCACTTGCGAGCAGCTGATTCAAAGGCAACAAAGAAAGGGTTTTTTACATCGGATTGTGACTGGGGATGAGAAATGGATATTCTACGATAACCCCAAGAAGAAAAAATACTACGCTATGCCAGGTCAATCATTGCCATCGACCTCAACATCAACACCAAAACCGAATATTCATGGTTCGAAGGTCCTGCTGTGTATCTGGTGGGATCAAAAGGGTGTTGTATACTATGAGCTGCTACAACCTGGCGATTCCATTACGGGCCATCGGTATAGGCTGCAATTGATTCGTTTGAGCCGTGCATTACGACAAAAACGACCGGAATACGATCAGAGACATGACAAAGTCATTCTTCTGCATGATAACGCTCGGCCTCGTGTCGCAAAAGTTGTGAAAAATTATTTGGAAACGCTCAAGTGGGATATTTTACCGCACCCGCCGTACTCGCCGGACATTGCTCCTTCTGATTACTGGTTGTTCCGACGGATGCAGCACGATTTGGCAGGTCACAGATTCACTTCTTTCGCAGAAATCGAAAATTGGCTTGTAACTTGGATCGCCTCAAAAGACGAGATATTTTTTCGAGATGGAATTCGAAAATTGCCTGAGAGGTGGGAAAAAGTAGTAAACAGCGATGGACAATACTTTGATTAATCTGTTAATTCATTTTGTTCTCGAAATAAATGCATTTTTCACCACAAAAAAACGGACCGAACTAATTTGTACTCCGAATAGCTTTGAGGGTTTTTAGTCAGATAGTCGCTAGAACGCTCGCCGAGAACTTACTGTGTAACAGAACTCTCAGAATTGTATCCACTAGAATCTAGTGCAGGGATGCACAGACTTGTTAAGATTAAGGGCCATATAGATTCACTGTGACTTATGGGAGGGCCGCCAACAAAAAGACATGAAAGTTATTTATCATTTATTATTTACTTTATTTATATTTATCATATATTGTTACAAAGGAAGGTAATAAAAATTAAATAAATAATTAAATTTGATGCGTAACATTGCATTTATTTAACAATTGTTTTAGTATTTGGTTCGATTTTTGTAGTAGCCAAGCGCAAAATTGATTCCAAATTTTTATTAGTTAAGCGGTTCAATTTGTTAATATTCATAACTGAAAAAGTTTCTTCACAGATATATGTTGACCCAAAGAGGCTTGCGCATTTTAATGCCTTATCTAGCAACGATTTATAATTGTTTTTATCGATACAACGATAGAACTTTAATAAATTGTCTCCATTAAATTCATTTCGCAGGTTCTCATCGTTTTGCATGTCGATCAGTTTAAGCTGTACTGATTCGGGTGCATTTTCGGGCAAAATGGCAAAAGGGTTGCGAAATAAATCTAGCAACGGTTTTACTTTTTGAAAATCAGAAAAACGATCCTTGAAGACTAATATCAAATTATCAATCGTTTCGACACATACACTCTTGAAGTTAACATTGAATCTTCCTGACATTTTTTTGTAATTGGGAAATGGACGTAATTCCCTGATTTTAATTGGGTTTGAAATAGATTGAACTTGCATTGCAAAGACAAAATGTAACCGTTAAGTTGAGTAATCAACTGATCTTTACCTTGAAGTCGCGTATTTAACATATTTAAATGATTTGTAATATCAACCAGAAAAGCTAAATCACATAACCAATCCGGACTTTTTATATCAAGGATGGTTTTGTTTTTTTCAGTCATGAAAATTTCAATTTCATCAATTAAATTTAGAAACCACTCCTGTTAAAGAATGCGTAATTTAGTTTTGTATTTACCACATTTTCGTTCGTCGTGTATATTGGCAGTGAGACGCCGGAACACGTTTCTTTTGTTTTTGTTACTAGGTCGGCGTCACTTCCTTCTTGCTTTTCTCTGTTCGCCGCATGTACATTACGTCGTATACAATTAAGTGTGTTTCCTTCGTTTCGACTCCGTGATATCCATCAGCTCCAATGTTTGATCGCGACTAAACCACCTCACTTCTGTGTAAAAAATTAAGTCACCGTATGTGCTTTCAATGTCTTCAAGAAATGTTTTGAATTGTTGGTGATTAAGGCCACGGGATTTTATAATATTAATTGTTGAAACTACAACTTTCATAACATGTTCAAATCCTAGTTTCTGGGGGCACAAACTCTCCTGGTGGATTATACAGTGGAATTGTATCAACTCATCGCCGTGTCTTCCCAAATGCTGTTTTAATAATGTTACCAATCCAAAATTAGTTCCTATCATGGAAAGATCTCCGTCAGTCGTAATACCTGATAATTTTATCAGATCTAAATCACTTTTGGAACACTGTTCCGAAAGCCCAGTGAGCATGTCACTACCCTTCATTTGACCTGATAATGAACTCATTCCAATCAACTCATCACTTACTTCAAACTCGTACGTTATTCCACGTGCAAATATTAACAACTGGGCTGTGGAAGTAATGTCAGTTGATTCATCAATAGCCAATGAAAAGTAAGCAAATTTATTTGCATAATTCGTTAATTGGTCTTTCATATTTACCGACATTGCAGTAATTCTACTCTGCACAGTCATCCGATTTAACTGAAGTTTCTCGAAAGTTTTGGCTGATTCTGGACAAATCTTTTTAGCAGCTATCTTGAAACAATCTTTAACAAAATCTCCGTCTGTAAATGGTCGGCACATTTTTGCTGTAAGGCGAGATATTTCAAAACTTATTTCTGTTGCAACTTCTGAATCTTGAACACGTTTTGTAAACATCGCTTGCTGACCTGTCAATTCTCGTTTCAAAGATGAAAGTTTTTGTTTACATAGTTCTTCGGGTAGTTTTGAAAATATAGAATGCAGATTTTCATAGTGTCTTCTTATATTGTATTCTTTTGGAACGGCTGCAGTACTTTTGCTTTTCATTCTGTACTTTACGTTTCCTACTTGGTCCCGCTTTATCCATTATACAATGTATTTTACTTTTTTTTCAAGAGGTGATAATTAATCGTAGCAACCACACCTACGAAAACAAAATACTCGTATGACAAATAAATGAATTATAAAATTTGCTAACGTTATTATTAACCGATCATCGTAAGTAGATAGACGCGGTTAATTACACAACTCAGATAGCACCGTACATCCTAAGGACGTCCGTTTCATATCCAGTTTATATCCGAATGTCCTACGTCCATTTTGGACATCCCCAGGACGTTCGTAAGACTTAAATTTCGGATGTTCTAGGAACGTCCGTCCCAAAAATCCTACGGATGTTCCCAAGACTTAAATTTCGGATGTTCTACGAACGTCCGTCCCAAAAGTCCTACGGATGTTCTAGAAACGTCTGTCCCAGAAGTCCTAAGGATGTTCTCAAGACTTAAATTTTTGATGGTTTCGTTTAGTATTTTTGCCAATGTCATTCCGTGCAAGATGATGGAACCCCATGAACAAGGTGTCAGTCTTTAAAGAATCAATAGAGAAGTGTAACGACACTAGTGGTTTTTTGCGAAAACCTCAACAAAGTTGACAAAACATGTTTTTTCTTAAGCTGTCTCTAACCAACACCGAATCAGAGTTTTGCTGTGAAAATAGAAATCAACACAATGTACTTTGAGATCATAATCCCCAGACCTATATTTTCATTACAATTCCTTACAGGAAAATTAATCTTTTATTTATTAACAGGAACTAACTAGATCTAATTTCTACCAAGTGCGGAAATTGCACGAAAGTTAATCTTTCATTCATTAAGCACAAGCTAACCTAATCTAACTCCTGTCACCTTGCATAGAATGAAACCTAACCGCAATTTTAAACATTTGGGAAACGTTTCTTATACGTCTTTTAAGACATTACCATAGCGTTTTTAAAATCTGTATAAACGTTCCTAAAATGTACAGGGAATGTTAATATTACACTTTCGGGAAACGTTCTGAGAATGTTGCCACAGGACGTCCTCAGGACATTCCATTTTGTAAATAGGACCTTCCTAGGACGTTTAAAGATCTTAACGAGGACCTAACGGGGACATATGGACCTTTTCGGTACATCTTCCGAATGTACAGAACGTCCGGCACGTATGTCTATCGGACGTACATATATGGGATGTTTTTGTGCTATTTGGGAAGATACACGGTTGACCGAAATACTTTAACAACAGTTATTTATCTTTATCGCCAACAATTCAAACACACCAACAAATAAGATGCAAGTACCTACATATACATATGTATGCATGAAACAGAGGGTATATACACTGGGCGCCAAAATTAAAGCATCACTAAAATTTGCCGAAAATATTGGTCATTTTCAGATGCCTATATCTTCGCGAAAAATAGCTATAAGAAATATTGTGACAGACCGTTTTGTAGCCCGAAGTTTCTGGTTTTTGAATCGGGAATTCAAAAATTATTTTTATGTAGTTTGTTCCTCTTTTTTAAAGATGAAGCGCAGTAAGCGACTGTTAAAAAATGTTGGTCAAGTTTGAGAGGATGCATGGGCCAAATGAAATTTTTTCTGGTAATTCCAATAGAATACTTTTAAAAAGCAAACTTTTTTCTTTAATTTCGTTTTTTCAATTTTGGTGTACAATTTTTATTGGCCCAGTTATTCGTCATCATATGAGAAAAGGTACTTTCCACTTTGAGCGCCTGTAACTTGCGAACGCAAGATCGTATAGAAAATTCCAGAAGTGATTTGGAAAGCTGAGAGACCTTTAGATTTTTCTCTTTAAAGACCTTTAGTTGCCAATTTGTTGAAATTTTTTTTCGTCGTCTACAGTCCATTTCAAAATAACGTAAAATATTGCATAATTACCATTTTTCACAAAACACGATGCCATTTTAACAGAAATTGTGGAATCTTCCAGGTGTCTACGTTTTTTTTAAGTTAAAAGTACACGTAACCACTGTACCAAAGGCCGCATTCATCAGATTTTTTTTACCCTGTGCCCTCGATAGTGAAACTTCCGATACAGTCTGAAAAATTGGTGAATGACTCTTTTGCGGTACGTTTCCTCTTTAAAACGATTTCGCAGCGTTTGAACTGTTGTGGTCTGTGTCTTCTTAGGTTCACATTATTTTAGGAGAAAGTAGAGATGTCAGAAATTTAGCAAACACATTTTTAAACAATCTCTTCGCAATGACAAAAGGTGCACAATACTGCCGGCATTAGCATTACCTAAGGCGTACCACGAGGAGGTTTCACTGTCGGATTTACGCTTCACTGCGTATGTACAAGCATGGAGAGATGAGACCCTGTGGTTCGTCACTCCCACAGTATTTTTTGACTCCAAACTCACTCTCCGATGCGTGCGTGCGTGCATGTATGCGTATGTTGTGTTTAATAATGGGTATTACCGCCTCTCCGGTTGATTACTTCTTTTAATCGTTTGCGCATATTAATGCACCTCCGTATGATTGACTGTGGTATTCTTCGCCAAATTTGGCGGAGGGCATGCGCTAATTGCCCTAAATTCGCCAAGTCTGGGTATTGCTGTCGCAACCGACGCCCAAGAAGATCCCAATCATGTTCAATGGGATTTAAATCTGGGCTCACTGGTGGATGGTCAAGAACTGGTATTCGATTTT